GTTTAAGAACAAGCGACATATCACCATGGTGATGCAAGTCTTCAAGGTTCAATCATCGCAATGGCTCACAATTTTGTCGGTTCAAATAACATCATGGTGAAGGTCAATTTAGTACAAGGGCTCAAGGAGGAAAAGATGCAGCTAATGCTCGTTATATCAGCGTTGCCATGCCAGCATTGACTCGAAAAAGATTTCATCCTCATGACTCATTACTAACATATTATAATTATGACGGTCAGCTGGTAGAACCAGAATGGTATTTCCAATTTCCTTGTTAATGGATCCGAGGGTATCGGAACCGGTGAGTTTATTTAACAACCTGCATATTAAGAATTTTGCAAGACGTATAATAAAATTGATTTTCTTATAATATTAGGTTAGAGTTCATTCATTCCAAATTACAATCCTCGCGACATCGTTGATAATTTAAACAATGAAAAGCCAATTCCAATGCATCTCTGGTATTGGGTTCCAGGTAATATTATTAATAATCATTTAATAGAATTCTCTAACAGACTTTTTGATTGGTCAACTATCTTTCGGTTAATTATCTTTTGGTTAATTAACCAGGTTAATTATCGCCCATCCTTAATTCCTGAACACCCTCCAATCAAAATTCAGTAAAACTCCGCTTCCTTAAGCGTTTTTTTCTATTCAAAGAAATATATTTTCTTCTAAAATAATAACATGAGATTTTACATTTGAAATTCTTATTAACGGTAAGGTTTATATTAAAAAAAAAAAAAAAAAAAAAAAAAAAAAATCACATTAATTAAAGCACGAACTTAAATTAAATTTATTTTTTTAGATACAGAGTTGGTATCTTATTCGCAAGAAGCTATTGATAAAAGGTAAGTACGGGTTATTAATTCTTATATTTATCACTTTTTTTTTCTTTGTTACATCAAAACTTATGATTATATATTTCTTTTTATTTTATTTTTTTTTTTAGTAAATATGTAACTTATGTTGCAGTTCCGGAGTCTTCCAGTCATTTGCTATTAGAGTTGGAGCTTATTTAGGGGTTTACAAATTGTTGATGGAAAGAATGGTTACGCACATATGGAAATTAATCCTGTGAACCGAGAGGAACCATATACATATATTTACACAACCACAACAAATCCATTTTTACCTCTTCAAATTTGATCCAGAAAAGCGGATTGATGATAATGTATACATTTTGAACATGCCGAAATGTAGTCTCTCAAAAATCACAAAAATAAAGGTGGTTTAAAATCTTTATTATTAAGAAGATCAGCAACAAGTTGATAAGTTGATTGAAAAATAAAAAATAAAAATAAAAAAATTGATATATATTTTACGAATAAATTTGTTTTTAAAGATATCTTTTACAAAGATTTATTTAGTTATAAAATAAAATAAGTCTTGGGTTATATGTTTCGATACTATGTTAAAAAAAAAAAATATGGGACACGTGGTTGTGAATATGCTATAGGCATTAATTTCTAATCTTCCAGGAATAAAACATTGGTTATAGGCCCCTTAGAGTCAATTTCCCATAAACTCCTATTTTCTAATCCTATTCTACTACCCTAAATCATCAATGATAAAATCACTTCATGTAGAAGTTGAACTGGCAGAATCGCCCAAATAGTAATAGCATAATTTAAAATTTAAGTCAAATCCGAGAAAAGTATTAATGAAAATGCATATACAAGTTCTCACCAAGGTACAATTAGAACCAGATCGCAAGTCATCCTTAGTTCAAATATTAATCTTATCACTTGAATGTCTACCAAGAACAAAGAAATTTTCACAAAAGTATATGTCTAAGCAGGTTTGGGAAAAGTTGAGCCCAAATATCATGAATTGAACGTTCGAATTCGTTTTTATGAAGTAATTTCGGCATTATCAATTAAAGGCTATCTATTTTCAAGAGCATTTTAAAGGAACGAATATGAAAACAGATTGAAAGAATTAAAGCTAATAATCGATTTGTAACTAACCATTTGGTAACGCTATATTTTAGTAATTTTCATTTTCAAATATTCGCTTATTTGTTAATAAATTTGATTTTTATGCTTGAAAACTGTAATTCCTGCTTCATCTTATTCAATCGAACTCAAAAAATATAACAGCGCATTTCCTTCCATAAATACAAAATAGCTGACAAGGGTTTAACTCTACGAACTAGGTTTTGTTTATTAAAAATAAAAAAAGGATTAAAATTTTTAAGATTATTAACTTCGTTTTTTTGTTGTTCTATACACATTTATAATTGGTATTGGGTGCTGAAGACGGTCACGGCTGTTAAAATATCAGAAAGCATTTCGAAGTGAAGGTATCGAAGTACTAGCATTAATTGACACATATCAATCTCCGGAAATGTCAATACCATCCGACAATTAATTAATAAATGAATCGGATAGAATTTTCAAAATTACTATCGAGAAGTTGGATAATCGAAATTACACGTAACATAGTAAAATTTTCCTTATCAGAAAGTCCAAATCCATGAAAATTGACACCAGCTTAAATAATATCTTCATGCCTTCTGCGGTTTTCTAGTAATTCAAAGAATTTTGAATTTTGAGTTTTCCGTTTCTATATACCACCAATGCTAGCGTCAAAGCCAATGCTAATGCTACTAAAGCCAATGTCAGCGTCAGCGTTAATGTATATAGTTCTTGAATATAAGCTACACACTCGTTCTCATAATTTTATATTTTTTCTGGATCGGCTGTAGTAAGTATTGAGACAATAGTTAACTATTGATAACTTTCCAGAAATATTTCCAATACAAGCTTATACATCTGAACATAGCTGGTTAATTTGTCAGAGTCGAAATAGCTCATCAAGAAAAAAAAAAAAATGTTTCAAAGTTCTGACATAAAAGTTTCTAATATTTGACCTTGAAAGTTCAGCATCATCCTTTTGCAAAAGCCATTTGAGAATAATCTCAACAAGTACATGAATCATAATAAAAGTTTCTTTAACAAATGCGACATTGGATCCACTAACTGAGTACTTCGCAATCTTACACCAAAGTCCAAATTCCGGTGAAACGTTAGATTTTGATGAAGAATTTTCAATATATAATCTCTGCAAATATTTCAATAAATTTTTCAACGCGATAGAATATTAAACTTTCATCATTTCTGATTGTGACTTTGAATATACTTACCAAGTATGAAATTACGATAAGAAACATGAATTTAGATTTTCAAAAGAGCCGTTACTTCCGCATCAATAAAATTCTTTCCATAACATCTTACTGGCTACACCAATAAAATTTAAATAGAGACGTTCTAATAGAGCAACTGTTTTTTTTTTAGATCTTGGAATATCAGCAAATAAATGTTGATTAGATATAATTTTCAAAAAAAATTATACAGCTCCTATTCTAGGTGTTACGAAAGAAAAAAGAAGAATGTTTTGTTGTTTCCATTCGTCGTTGTTTTCATTTTCTATTATCCAATAAATTTGATGAGACACCAATATAAGATTTATTAAGAATATTATTATTATAAACGATCTAATGCAATAAAGCAAAACCGTTTTAAGCTATAATGTATAATAGTCCAATTGACTTTTTAGCATGATCATATAGAAAGAATTTCTTTCGGTATTTATTTAAATTTTATATCGTTAACTTCATATGTCACCTGCGGGATGTCTCAAATGGATTGCCACAATATAAAAGTTCCAATTTTGTACTTTTTTTCTCCGTCTTTTTATTATATAAAAAAAAAAATTGTACTAAAAAAAAGGTATAACTAAATATATGAAAAACGAAAAAAAAAAAAATAATTATAACCTACCTTTCAAGTCCACCAAACACCGTAACTGAAGCAATTAACCAGACTTGTATGAACGAAAACATTAAAGTCTAGTTGTGTCACCTAAATCTAATTCAAAAACAATTAACTAGCTTTAGTAATCTTCAAAATTTGTACTTGATTTTGCTGTTACAAAAATACGTTTTAATAAGTGTTTTAATTTTTAACATGGACGGTCTTTATATATAACATTATTAGAATTAAATGTCAGTAATTCATTGTCAAAATCCTTTGAAAAATAAGGAGTTTGGAGGAAATCACTCTGACACTAATTTCGCATAATGTAATATCAATTGAATAATGTAATAAACTTTATTTGCATTGTTACAATTAGATTATTAAATAAAGATGACCGTTTAAACTATTTTTTTCAAAAAAGGTATAGTTATTATTGCTATCTGAAACTTACTGAAATAGTTTACCGCACTTCAAATTGCTCCAAATATTTGATTGGCTAATGAGAGTGTCAAAAGTCTATTTTATAAAATGTCTATATATAAGATAATAAAAAATTTATTATTCCTTTATGATTTCAAAATATAAAAGATAACCTTTTGAAAATTGATATCTTGGTAAAGGGTATCGATAAGAAAACTGAATAAAAATCTACTGTACAATTTTCTAGAAAAGTTTTCAAACTCTTTAAATTATCGATAACCTTCAAAAACCAAATAAAATTTAGATCTGCAGAACAATGTTCTAAAAATTTTTCACACGTTTCTAAAATATCGATAATTTTAAATCTACATTATGTTGTTCAAATGAATTAGAAGAAAATATTAGGTATAAAATTCATTTTGTTAAATCTTTTTTTAAAATAAAGTTTTTAAAAGAAAAAAAATGCGTAAAGATTACGCATTTCCTTAAAAATTTTAACCAATTATTATTTTGTAAAGTCTGTTTTCTGATTATTTACAAGTACAAATAATTGGTAAAAATGTAATTAGTCATCTCATTGAAATTATACGTTTTAGAGAAAATTTTTGATTTATAGTCGTTTAAAATAAAAAATTCTCAAATTAAAATTTGATGTTTGATAAGCATCATTGATCCCAAAAGTAATACAACTATAGATTTCAAATTCCGCGATGAGAATTTTTTTGAGACGTCCTTCGCTCGTCATAAAACGGAATGAATTTTGATATTTTATGTATAAATTCTTCCTCGCAAATCAATATCCTAAACATATATCAACACCTATCCTGACTTGAAAACAAATAACACGATTTGTCTTTTGTGTTTCAGTATAGCTTCAATAACTATGTTTAATTGTTCTACCAATACCTTTTCATCTTCAACATCAAATATTTTTGGAACCAATCTTCTTGTATGAAAATCAGTAGACTATTTCCTAATTTAAAATACATATTTATATTCATAAACATCTTCCATTTAAGCCTTGTGGGAGCTATAGTCATAGGTATACTCCTTTTTAACTTGCTTTGAATTATTTACTTTATGAATAGGTTGAGCTTTTTGTTGCCCTTCTCTTTTTCCTTACGGGTATCAACGGCCGGAGGTGCATCCGCAAAGTCAAAACTCATTGAGTATTGGGGACTCAACCACTTGGTGGTCAAAACTTTTACTTTCAAATAAGTAACCAACAGATTTTGTTCGTTTTGAACTCTTTTTTTTTTTTTTTTTTTTTTTTTACAAAAAAAAAACAATTATAAAATAATGAGAGATTATGAATAAAATATTTTGAAAAAAGACTATTTTTTTAACAATAAAATAAAAAAATATTGAAAAACTTACCTATAACAGGAATCAAAGTGTGGATTTAGTTTATGGGAGAGAACAGGGAAGAGAGGTCGACGATGATGGTTGTAATATGGATGAAGTAGTAGTGTCTGGGAATATATTTGGAGAATCTAGGGGGAAAGTGGCTTCGAATGTATTAATATCAACTTGGGTATTTATAAGAGTTATATTTGGTAAGTTGCAAATATCTATTATAATATTATAAAAATGAAAAATATATATATTATTAAATGTAGAATTTAAAAAAAAAAAAATTGTGAAACGTGTATCGTTAAACAAATTTCTAAGCCACTCAATCTCCTAATTCAGAATTCAGAAAGCGCGTACAATTGAACTTTCGCGAAAATCAAATGTTATCGATGCACTTTTATTTGTATTTGGTTATCGAGCAAATAAAATGAGCCAAGCCAAATTATCAGAACTTATTCATTCATCACGTTGATGTGAAAATCTGGTTTGAAAAATTCTTGACTTGGTACTAATAAAGTTTTTAATTTCCAAAAAAAAAAAAAAAAAAAAAGAAAGAGAATAAAAAATCACAAAATTAAAAATGAATGATGTTCAATAATATTATAGCCTAATTCGGATCATTATGGATTCTATCACAATCCCAATTGGTTATCTCGCGTCAAGCTTTTTGCAATAATGCAAGCGTTTCATAAATGGGCGACAAAGCAATTACTGAAGTCTTTTGAAAGAAATCGGGATCGATTTGGATCATAAACGATTTCTAATTTTGTCAGGTTCCTTTTTTATTTATTTATTTATTTTTATGTTTTCATCAAGAGGTAATGATTAATGTATTGACATCATCAAATTTTTATGCTTAAATTAATGAAGTTGGATTAATATCACAGATGAAACCCCAAATGAGCATGAAGATGGACTCTTAAAATATATTGAATACATCATAAATATAAAGTCCCTTATGAAGAAGCAAATGAAAAGGTTGAACATTGGATGAAGAATGATCAGAAAATAACAATAATGATTCGAACCTTATTGAATTTTCGCCGAGATGAAAACACGTTAGCTTTGAAGCAGTCCGCCCTTTATCAAAAATTTGCTCGAGTGTAAGATTAATACTGAAATATTAACTAAGGCTGTGGTGAGACATTAGATTTAATAACTTATTCAGACAAGTTAATTTAATATGACAGTTAATTTATTTATTAATTTTTAGATAAATTAAAAAGTCAACTAAGAGAAGAAAAGCATGTTCAAATAAAACAAGATAACAAGGATCTTGAAGATAAATACAGGTAAAATAATTATTAAATTTACAAATAAATAAACTTTCATTAATTAATACCTAATTGTATTTATTTTAATAAGCAACTTGAAAAAGAAACTAATGAAATTCTAGAAGAATTGGCAAATTATGTGAAGA